TCCTACACCTGCGCCACCATTACCGACCAAAGCAGTCACAGAAGGACCAAGTAGGACATACTCCCCACCGATGCCTTCAGTAGCGGAGACAGAAGCATTGTCAACTATTCCAGCTATGACCAGTACGCCAATGACTAGTTCAAGTGCGGTAATGCCATCCCAGCTGCCTCCAAGTGCAGTGATTGAACCCAGTCGTACATACATCTCACAGACGGATGAACCAACCCAAATAGTTGTTACCCCAACACCAGTTCCTACCACTCTGGAACTCACAACTACATCAGAGCCATTAAAACCACAAATTACAACTGGCAAAACTCCATTGACGACTACCTCCACAGTGGTTAAACCCAACAAGGTACCTTTAGTTCGAAACCCACCAATCATGCCAGAGATCATTACTGGCAAAGTATTTAAATACCAAATTCCCCAGAACACATTTTATGATGAGGAAGATGGTGACACATTCAATCTGAAACTTGTTTTCACAACATCTGATGGTATGCCTGTTCCATCTGATTCCTGGATTCAATTTAATACGAATTTGCAAACCTTGATTGGTCTGCCGATGAAGACTGATGCCAGGCAGAACAATAAGTACATATTAACAGCAGTCGATAGCGGTGGTAAAATTGCTATTGTTCCAATGGACTTAGATGTAACACTGAGTAGTCTTAAGAAGAACCACGAATTTAAGATATCTCTAGTAGATGGTTCGAAAGACCTGGATAATAAAGTGACAACAAAGGTTGACATTATTGAAAGATTGGCAACTTTGTACGAGGATCCAACTACTGATTTTATCTCTGTTTCATCCTTTGACAAAGATTCATGGACACTTGGCTGGAGTAACAATACTCAACGCTATGACCCTTGTCCAAGAAAAAAAATTAAACTGCTTACTAAAGTTATAGAAAAAATGAAAGGAACTCCAGGTGTACCAAGTCAGGCCTTAAAGGAAGCCATGAGACCAGAATATGTTGTAACTAGAGTCGAAGATACACCTTTTGGGCCTTGCACTGAGGAGGAGATTGCCACAACTAAGGCTCCACCAAGGATTGTTTCACCTGTACCAACATTAACTCCCAACACAGCACCCATTCTATTAAACCACATTGACAGAGTAGTTGTCTATGATGGAGAAACATTCAGTTATCAAATCCCACAAGATACTTTTTATGATGCGGAAGATGGTGTCACACCGAATTTGAAATTGATATTCTTGACCATTGAAGGAGTAATGATGCATAAAGCTTCATGGGTACAATTTAACGTTACTTCCCAGACTCTGTACGGCATACCAATTAACAGAGTAGGTAAATACGAATACATAATGGGTGCAATGGACAGTGGCGCTAAAATTGCACGAGATGCATTTGAAATTGAAGTAGTTATGAATCCTCACAAACCAAACTATGAATTCAGTGTGACTCTGTCCAATGACATTACAGAATTTGAGAATGATGTTTTTAAAACTATGGATCTAGTTGGACGTATTGCTATGTTATACGGTGATGATTCAAATGACGCAATCACTGTGGCTTATATGAAGAAGGGCTCTACCATTCTTGGTTGGAGTAATAATACAATGATATATGAACCATGTCCAATTGAGGCAATTGGAAAATTAGCAAAGTTACTAGAAACAGATAAACATCAACCAACTGAAATATTTATTAACACTCTAGCGCCTGAATATGAAGTGTTGAGTGTTAGCACGTCTCCAATAGGTCCTTGCGTTTCACCTAATAAAGGAACAGAGGCACCTGAAGGTCCAGGGATAGCTGAATCATCTGGTCTTACAAGTGATGAAGAGATATGGGTCATAACAGTTGTTCCTGCATTAATTGTAGCCGCTGTACTCTTACTTGCCGGTTTGATTATTTTCCTGTGTTATAGATACAGTCGTAAAGGTAAACTATCCGATGAAGATGAGGACACGTTCATTCACAAGGGCGTTCCAGTTATCTTCACGGATGAAATGGATGATGCAGAGAAGCCACCTTCGTCTGCATCTCCATTAATTATGAGAGAGGAAGTACCTCCTGTTCCTCCCCCAGAGTATCCCAGACAAGGTTCACCCAGCAGTAACCATCCTCTGTTGGCACATTCTTTTGAAGATAATGCAGACTTGGATGATACTTTTTTCTACCAACCACCTTCTGGTCTCTCATCTACGCCAGACAGCCGACGATCTACTCCTCGTAATTTACGTGCATATAGACCACCACCTCCTTATGTACCTCCATAATAAACAATCTTGAGCACAAAAATCAGAAAGTACAGAGGACCAACTATGAGAGCAGGTTGTCCTCATTACAGCTTTTGTATGGATATTTTATTTTGGATTCTGACACATTATTATAATCGTTGATCACGCCATTACCTCAGCATTGTCCAAGATATTATTGTAACTTTTGGTTCTATCATTACATTACAACTATATTCATATTACTATTTTATGTAAGTTCTTATGACTTTATCAATTACTTGAAATAATGTCAACCAACTTCCCTGCTTTTGTTATGAGGTACGTAAACTTTGGGAGAATCAAGTACATGGATCATATCACAATTCCAAATTTTAGTGCATTGTGGAATAGTTTTGTCAGGTTGCACGAGTAGGCATGCTTTTGATTTTGGGGGCTGCATTCAGTCAAAACTATCCCACAATCCACTATGATATTGTCTATGCAGGGATTGCCAACACTGCTTTATGGTATTTGCCTTAATTTTCTTTTTTTTAAGTTATCTTAATTTTAATTAATTATTTTAATATATTTACTTTGAATGCAGTGATCTATCTCCCTTGGGTTTATTAAGCATGGTACCATTATGCTTGAATTGTTGAAAAAAAACAAAAACATTGAAGCTTGTTAAATCTATTGTATTTAATTGAAAATTCTGGTATAGTCATATGCACAATCAGATGCAGTGCTTGGACAAAATCCTGTGCGAGATTGGTGGAATATACCACATTTGCTCTATTATTAGTACATGCAATTGTATTTGGTGTGTCTATAGTCAAAACAAGTCATACTGTATATTAATGTACTTCTAATTGGAACAAATGTGGTTACGTATATTTGTCTGTCTTGAAGGGTGCAGGTTTTGACTTTGTCTTTTTAAACAAAAACGCAAAAAATATTTCATAGTTTTTTTTTACAAGCAAATGTAGTTTTCTGAATTGTAGTAAAAAAAATGTATCCATTTATTACGCAATATAGACAGAAATTGACCAGATATTTTGCAGATGTCAGAAATATAATATAGTGGCTGATGTCAAATACTAACATATATAAAGCAATCGACTTTGAAATACTTGAATAGTTAGTCTAAAATAATGTTTGTGTGTCTTGATGAAAGATTTTACACACAAACGTTTAACAAAATGAATGCAAATGATTTATTTGTGACAACTTTTGACCATTGTGTGTGTGTGTGTGTGTGTTTGCATGCATGTGCATGGTATCAGTTCTGATGTAAGGTTCTGTCTCTATTTATATATCAGCGTTGATTCCCAAGCTGTCTGAAATGTTGATTTTTTTTATCCACTCAGGTACAGAAAGCAGACATTTTGTGAATTTGTGATATTATTTTTGAGTTCCATTGGTATTTATTGGTGTCCATTGTTTTGTAAATATGGTTCATGTTCACACTGGTTCTATATATTAAGCTGTTTTGAAATCTTTCATTCTTATGACTATGCAGTAGTAGGCGTTTTATTCTTGCATTCTGAACTTTTAAAAGTCTTGTTTGAACATTGTCTTAACACCAAGTGGAGGCTGTAAAAATCTTTGGGTTTTTATTTTATGGTGTTACGATATGAAGGGACTGGGAAAGAATAATTGGTTTTTAGTAATACAGAATGAATTATTGACGATCTCTTGTTAGTTACAGTATATACATACTGTACAGCTTAATTGATACATAGTAGTCTTTATCTTCTGTCTAAAAAAGTACATGGCATTTTTGCTTTCAGTGTTTGAAGTATTGGTCACCTTGTATTTGATATACAGGAATCGTTGTATACATGTATAATTAGTACAATATAAAGGGTTGTGCTGTTTTTTTGCATATAATGTTTAATTTACAAATTAATTCTAATCTATGCATGCTCTTATTAGCTCTTCACGTTTACTATGATATATTAGTATGATAAGCTGTTTTACATTGCCCTAGGTTTCCTTGCAATGATAATAGTGCTTGATATAGTTTATTTTGAACCATGATTGTATGGTGGATTACTTAAAATGTAACTCGATATTATCGTAATATGTTGACAGCTTGTATCAAAACATATATTGTCTCACTGATGCACATGCATTTTATTTTAGAATTCCAGCTATGAAGTTTTTTTATATCATATAGTTCTATTTACTGCCTCAAGTATGTGTGTAATTCCCAGATTCTTTCCATCTTTGTAACCATATCAACACTATTGTCACAGAAACAGAAATTAACAGCTGAACCTGTACCTGTATTGATCAACCAATCTGCCACCACCAATGATATGTTTGAAGCTTGCAGAAATCATAAATATTTGATCTCGTGACATATAATACACCCATTTCTGTGGGATATCTGAACTAGTTGGAAAAGTATTGATGGAGAATGTAAATTCACTGATTTTTGGCTGAAATAACTTTCTCCTGAAAAGCCTTTCAATTTGTTTTCTTATTTATTGTGTATGGATTGTAAAACAGGACTGAGCATGTTTGCTTGTAGCAATAATGCTCCATGTACATTTACTAACCTTGCGTGTATCGAGTATGTTGGGTGTACCGTGTCTGGATTGTAACTTGCAATCCAATCTAGTATCATAACCAAGTGAAAGTACAATATTGCACAGAATTAAATGTTATGGTTTCCAAATTAACTACAGTTTGTGATCTGTCAATGATACAAGATTTTAACATTTATGTTTCCTAATACTATAAATATTTTACAAAGACTAACTTAGCAATGTTGAAAATTAAGGTATATGTAGGTAATTTGAAATCTGGCAGCTGATAACTCTCCTGGGTGTAATCCACATTCCAAGCTGTCCCAGACAATCCCTACATAATAAGTTGTAGGGAGGAGGGTAATACAACGCCATATTTATCACAACTACTGTAATTCAATGAGCAATACAACTCTACATACAATCAAAGGATAACAAATCATCAGTTAATGTTGGCAATGCAGATCCAGTGTCATTGGAATTTATAAAATTTTCACAAACATTTAAAAAAAAAAAAACATAATTGAAATGCATATTAACTTGTGAATGTACGTAGGTTTGTACAAACACTGCATCACATACACAAATGAAAATTGAATTTAAGCAGCGGATTTACGTGTAATGGTCTCGTAGATTAATACAAGAGTCTAATTGAAGTAGAAGATATGTAGATTTCACCCAAAATACACCAACCATGGTTAATTTTTTGACCTTTTTTCTATACATATCAGTAACATCCTGTTTTTCTATACATATCAGTAACATCCTATGTTTTTCATATGCATATAATAAGTGTATTATTTTTTTTTCTTTAATTTCGTAAGTTTAGTTTTATAATTGTAGTTTTTTAGTGACCTTACTGGTGTACTTTCTGAAGTCAGTGTTCTCAAACGTTAATATGCCAATAGTTTTAGTTTGTGAATTAATACAAAAAACAAA